CTCATTATAATATATTTATTATACAGGCAAAACAATTTTCATAGCCTTCAATTGTATTTGGTAACAGAGCCATTTACTAGAAAATCAGACCACCTTCACCAAGCCCACCTGTCACATACTCTCTTTCAGAAATTGCCAATAGTTCCCTCTGATGATTAATACTATGTTATTTATAACCAAGAGAAAGCCAAAGTTTTAATATATCAAAATTATATTATTATATTACATTGTTTTCTGTACAGATAATTGTCTATGTCGCCTCCAATTCAAACTTTATTCCTATGTGAAATACATCTAAGAGCTTAGCTGAATTTTTAGTGGCTCTTATCGCATAGTTAGAGAGTCAAAAAATGTTTATGGTTACAGGCCATTGTCTGCTTTTTATCTGTTATAATTCTATGTTTTAGGTACATTATTTAATTAAAAATTATTTAGTGCAGTAGAACCATTAGTATAAATAAGTAGGGTTAAGGTTCATCAATAATCGACGGCAAAAAAAAAAAAAAATAGAAGACCCAGGTAAGAACTACATTTCTTGGTTTTCATGTGTATTCTTTATTTATTACTATAAAAGTAACTATTAGGTCAGATAAGGTTAGATTAGGTAAAGCCAAGAAAAATAATTTAAAAAAATGATACGAGGTATGCTGGCAAGTAGTCTGTGCGTTACGTAATTCTATAATGTAACATTGTCGAGTGATTTACAACTTGTTTGGCGGGATTATTAGTTAGACATGGTTTAGAGAGCAACAAGCTTTAAGCTGTTTAAGATAAACAAGTGCAGTTTCATGTTACAATTTGAAGTCATTCTTAGAAGAAAAAAGGGTAATTTAGATTTATTTCATATTCTTTTATTGTGGTTACCAGGTTACCTTGTATACAGTTAGGGTAGAGAAAATAACAGATAAAATATAAAGTTTTAATCAAAAAATCGTTTGAAATTTATTTAGAAGGTTTTAGCGATTATGCAAATGAAATTGGACAATTTTCAGATGACGAAAAGTGTTTTTAATCTTAACGTGAAAATCACTTTGCAACTCGGAGCAGTCAACACTTTGACTCCATATATTCACAGAGAAATTTTTAGTTAAAATACTTAATCAAAAATTCTGATTTTATATCTAAAAAAAGACTTGATGTTTACTGAAAGCATGCCAAGTTTCGTGAAGATACATTAAGCACTTTCAGAGTATGTATTCCACCATGGTTACATGGTGTTTACAAGGGTATGTAAAATACAGAAGTCCATTGGAATTGGAATATACATGCCAGTTAAATACATATGTGTGGTCCCATACATGCTGTAACATCAGATGGAGTAATTCATGAGTGTTGAATAACAAAAATGGATCAATTAATGAACATAACTATTAAACCACATATGAATGAAGGATCTGATCTGGATGTTACGTCTTAAGTCTGGGTGATATGAAGTTAACTGTGATCATTTAAGGTATTATTTGGTATTATTCGGCAGGAAGTCAATTTTCGTAAAAGGATAAGAGTAATGTAAAAACTTGCACTAGGTATGAGAGAAAATATAGTCTTACCTGTTGATTTTAGGTAAGGTTGGTGTATGATATTTCAATTGAATTGAAATCAAATGTTGGGGAGTAGATGAAATCTATATAAATATAACAGTACTGCCTGTTGTCTGTTGTATGTCCATGTAACTATTTCGCGGGGTGGATCTTCACCCAATTTGGCATGAAGGTTTGTTCGGTCCATGGGGAGATACATATAAATGTTCAGTTTTACGTTTTGCAGTTTCTATTGGCGTTTTTCGTTTTTTAGAATTAAATATAACGGAAGCAACTTTTCATGTACTAAGATAACCTTTCATTAATCACGAATTTACATAACTTCCGTCCAGTAGACGGGTACTCCAGCTAGTTATCAATAGTATATGAAACTCACAAACAGTAGCTTAAATGTCATGAAAAGTATAAACTTGATTTTAATAGAATGTTTTTAATCATGTAGGTTGAAATGGCACACAGTTTTCTAAATATTTTCTTAACATTGTTTCAGTACAAGGTGCAGTAAATGTACTATGACATGTTGAAATTTTGTAAATCACACCATGGTGTTTACAAGGGTGTGTAAAATAATGAAGACCGTTGCGATTGGAATATACATGTTTAATTAAATACATGTGTATAGTCCCATACATGTTGTAACATTGCAACTTGTAACTGGGAGGTCAAACTGATGGTCAAAAGTAAGGTTAGGAACTGCCTAATCAAGTCAGCTCATGTCTAGGATCCAGTTTTGAAGACTTATAGATCACTTGTTTGGGATCTTGCCTAATTAGTTGTTATGCTGGTTTTGAAGTCTCCTTGGATGGGCAGCCCCAGTCTGTGGTGGACCCATCCCAGGGATTCAAGCTCTCATTGGATGCAATTACCCCAGCAGCCTCAAAGACCATGCTGCAGATCAGCACATCAATGCTGGTCGACCTGCCAACAACGTAACTACTAACATGAATTGCCACAACATTGGCAGTTAAAAGGGAGAAATGGCAATTGTCTGAGAATAAGAAGCCTATTTTCTTTGGGCACTGTTGGAGGGTATGTGATGACTGTAAGACATAGGCACCAAATGTGCACCTACTATGATCAGAACTGCTAAATACAGATGCTAAGGAAGATCTTAATGGAGATGAAGTTGCCTTGAGGAATGCCAGTGATTTCGGTGGTCAATACCACCAGAGGCCAGCTGGATATAGCGATATTGATACTTGTATGAACTCCACCACCAATAATGATGGTGGGGACCTTTATTATAAATGATTGGGCCTTGATGGGTGGCCAAGAACGTTATATGGATTGTCAGGTCTCAGGTGAGGTGTGGAACATCACAGTAATCGTCAGTCAAGCAGTCTTCAACCAAGAGGTCCTGAGAATTTTCTCAATGGCAACTGAAGGTCGACCTGTAGACAATCCAACCCACCACCATAATCCTGAAAGTGATGGAAATCTAGACTCTAAACAGCAATGGCAAGAAATAGCAACCAAATGAATGAAGGACTGAACTATGAAGATATAACTCAATACTACCTTCCTGGTTAGAGAAAAAATACTGGTAGATATGAATGGAACTGGCTCAGACCAGGCAAGTCTTGGCTCGGGCCAAAGCAATCATAAGATAACTTAGCAGACAATCAAAGACACACAGTCACTTTAGAGAATCTGCTGTTGGGGTTAATATGAGGGTAGTCGGACCTCTTTGCTAATGTTGAGGTTAAGTGCACATTCTGTCTATGTTTAATTTATTTTTTCTAAATTTAGGGTTGTAATATTGTATATATATATCTTTGAATTTTTCTTTTCTTTTAATTGTATTATCATTTTTTATTGGTTACAGTACAAAAGTTTTTGTTTTAGCATTGCATTACATTTCAGCAAGTATTCCTGTATATAAAGGGTTTTATTTTGCATTTAATACAAGTTTAGAAAAAATAATTTGATCAATACATATTGTGAGTAAAAGGCTTATTGCTTAAGTTTTAAGCTGTTTCATTATTATGTATTAGACTATCCATGTACAGTGTATTTTATTATGATCAGGTGCTAGAAAATTTTATGCACTCCTCAACCAGGGTGTGAATTTAAAGTTAAACTTAATTGTCAATTTGAGGGAAAGCTTGAAGTAGGGAAAACAGGAAAATGTGATATATTAGAGTACAATACATTTCTATCTTCATTTACTAATACTGAATTTATTTTTTGTTCTGTATACGTGCAGGTTTCATATAGAGAAATCCATTAAGTTGATTTTGTTTTCTTCCTTTGTTTATCAAGTGAAAATAATACCTGTTTTATTGGGGTGGGGGCACATTGCTGCAGTACTGCTTGTTGCAGAAAGGTGATATCAAGAGGTTATGGCCTCACCTATGTTGTAATGGTCACAGAGTAGTGCTATTTGCTCTGGTGTATATGTGACATTTCTTGGAAACTAAGGGATGTTAGATTTATATAGTCTGGAACAGGATCTCAAACAAGAAGTAGCAGCCTAGAGAATCCAGTAAAAGTGACAGTTCTGTGTAAAAACTAGCAGATAGACACATTGTGTTTGTGTTTAGTGTCATAATAAAGATTGTTTATTTTTCACTTCTCTTTGTATTCAGGCACATTATTCCATTTAACATCATAACTCGATTGGTAAGAGATTTATAATTACTTCATGATTGATATCCTGACCAATTCTACGACTATTAAGCAGATAGCTAGCATATGCCGCGTATTACTGAAAATTCTATAACTGAAATTATTTTATTATTTCAATTAATTGTGTTTTAATTGAAATGTTTGAAAGTTCGTATAATACTTCCCGAGTTGCAAAACCTATTCGTTACAGTACAAATCTGAGAATGTATTCTCTGAACTAAAAAATATCATGGATCTAAAAATTGAACATTTCTTGATTTATATTACACTAAACATAAAGTCACCAGTGGCTGCTTGCAGTGAAAACAGAGAAGTGAAATCAACATGGCATCAAAGGCGAGAGAATAGAAGTAAAGAGCTTGGAAAAAGTGACGTTTGAGACTTGGTTTTCACTATAATACCATCTGGTTAACATAAATCTAGGTTCATATTTATTTAAATTCACATTTTTCGAAATCTGAAGTGACTGTAACACACAATAATAATGAAAAAATCGTAACACATTTTTCTTTTACTTTGCGTCATTTATTTCTAGGGCTATATATTAGTAGTTCCTGAATGATTCTGACGAAACCCGTTTTGGGATTCAAGGCGCATTTTGTGAAGATGTAAAATCCACTAAAACTAAACATGTTAAGAAATAGTAATAAGCATTATTTAAAAAAAAGCTATAATTTGCAAAATTTATTCTATCTGATACACTGCTGAAATTGTGTTTATCAAGCAGATGATACTTTTGCGTTATTTTCATAATACTGTATTTATTTCAATGTTTAAAAAGTCAGATATAATGCAGCTGTTTTACTGATATATAGTAATCACTCTTCCTACCTGAAATTTGTTTGATGCAGTGTGAATTATTGGGATATTTATTCGGGTAGTATGGTGAGTAGAATTCCATCAACTTTTCATTCCCAATAGTAAAGTTGTAACATGCTTGTATGTGGTCTCCACCATTTAGCTGATCGCTCTGGAAGTCGTGGATGTCTTTTGCTACATATATTAACAAAATCACATTTAAGTGTTGGAGAAGCAGAGAATATCTTGAAGTTTCTAGATATTACAGATTTCACATTTAAAAATAAGAGAATGTCCTGAATAATAACATTAATAAATTTTACAATCTAATTAAAATAATGATAATAACGAATTAAGATTAAAGAACTGATCAAGGGTAACTTTAATCAAAGAAAAGATGAAAAGTTAATTATTAAAAGACTGCAAAACTTGAATAAGCGTGACTATATATTTCCAGAGAAATTATAAAGGTGTAAAAGATGGATAATCAAAACTCATAATGAGTCTAGAAAAAGTTAAATTTTTGCATATTTTTGAAAGGTTAAGTTAAGAAATTAGATGAGCTTGCAGTCACTTAGATTATGCTGAACTGATCACATTTCAGTGTTAGATGATCTGAACAGTTGATGGATGTTACCGGATAAAAAACAAATATATTGCATATCTTCAGATGCTAGATAACTGAGCTGTTACCGAATAAAAAACATTATGGTATATTTTCAAATGTTAAATAACCTAAACCCGAGTGTTATGCACATTTAATGAGAACTATTTCTAAAGTTTGTCACTGAATGGTTTTACTTTTATTTATTTATTTTAATTAGTTAATAGTTGCTGTATACATACAGTGTAAACATGTGGGATATGTGTGAGATGTATATATATATATTGGTGTACTTTGGTGTACTGATTTTCTTGTAGGCCACAATACACACTCCACCAATTAACGCCTTCCACGAGCTAGATACCAACCACCTCGTCTTACCCACTTACCTAATAAATTA